TGTTAAAAAGATGTATTTATTTATTTTTAGAGAGGGGGGAAGGGAGGGAGAAAAGGAGAGGGAGCTACATTGATCGGTTCCCTCTCACAAGCCCCCAACTGGGGATTTGACCTGAAAGCCAGGCGTGTGCCTTGACTGGGAATCAAACCAGTGATGTTTTGGTTTGCCCGCTGGCATTCAATCCACTGAGCCACGCGAGCCAGGGCTTAAATCCTATTTTTAATGTTTTCCAATTTTTCCTTCATGTGGGCTCTCAGCTGCCCTGAGCTCCTCAGAGCTTGTGAACCTCAGAGGGGGCTGGTTAATTTCAGCAGAGAAGGGTCTTATGGGAAGGCTTTCAGATCACTCAGAGGGAGTTAGAGAGTTAGGGAGCAGACAGGCCGTCGGAGCCCAGGTTAGCCCTTCTGGACGCTGCCTAGGGGTTAGTGCTGCCCCCGCCCCCTGCACTGCCTGGATTTTACATGCATCCAGCCCAGGCTCAAAACCCATCTCTTGGTAGCTTGTAACACTGGACAAATTTCTTAGCTTCTCTGTCCCTCAGTTACCTCATCTGTAAAATGGGGCTGGTGAAAAGTGTACCTACCTAGTATTGTGGTTATAAGGATTGTCTGAGTTAATATTAGAACTGTCTGGCTAGTAATAAGCTCTTTATACTTGTTAAAGGAAAAAAAAATACTGCCAGTGTCACCACAATGAATTCAAACATCCCTCTCCATCTCCTGACCCAGATTCAAAGTCCTGAGTGAGGCTGGGAGAGAGCGGGAGGAATGGTTGTTGCTGAAGTCCTGGCTGCTGGGGTCCGGGAGGGGGAGGGTCCGGTGGGTGGTCCGACTTCCAAAAAGGAAGGATGCTGCCTCCCAGCCAGGTTACTCTGCACAGAGGACAGAGAAATCAGGGAGGGTCCAGGTACGGGGCTGGAGATTTTGCAGTAAGTGTTCCACAAAGAATTGTGAATGAACGGAAGAGGCGACCAAAATACAGGTAACAACCACAACAAATGGCACAGCTCCCTCGGGACGAGATCCCAGGAAGCAGGAGGAGGCAGTTGGGCAAATGAAACAGGGAAGAGATCTCCGTGTGTCACAGCGGTGGCCGTTGACGGGGCACTCCCGTCTGCCTGACACCCTGTGGTCAGGTGGTCTCGGCCTGGGGGTGGGGCAGAGGCGACTGGAGTTGCCGAGAGGAACCTAGGGCTCGTGACAATTGTGAAGTACTCCTTATCTGGCCATATCTTTTTTTGAGGGTCGTGGAGAAGTTGGAGTGGGAAACTGAAAGGAGAGCCCAAGGTGTCTAAAGTGGCATTGCTGGGCCAGAGGGAAGCCCTGAGGGGGTGTCACCTCTTGGTCACATGACTATGCTTTGTCACGTGACTCAGCTCCTTCAGCTGTTGGGAATACGGAGAGAAGAAAATTTGAAAGTTCCCCAGCTGCTTCCTGCCCCCATCACAGGGTCTGGGTCTCCCTGTGGGTGGTTCTTCAGCAGGAAGGACCGCGGGGTCCTGCAGATCCTCCTCCTTTTCCCCGCCTCCTCCCGCTGCCCTCTCTCCCCCAATAATTCTGGCTCCAGGTGCCGACTCACAGCACTTCACATTCTGGGAGCACGCCCTTGGGTTCCTTGACATTCTTGGAGAATTTTGATCATCTTCCCTGAACTATGTCACAAATTCTGGAGTAGAAACTTCAGGGGAAAGGAGCAGGGCCTGAGACTCCTCAGTCCCCTCCCCAGGTGTAGCATAAAGTAAAAAGCGAGCCTGGGTTATGTGGCCCTGTGGGAATAGCTTGTCCGAGATGTTTCCTTTGATCTCACTCCCACCCCGTGAACTTGACCATAATCCTGCAAGATGGTAATTGTAGGGCCAAGATTTGAACCCTAGCTTCTGACCTAGAGCCAGAACAAACTGGACAGCGGAGCCAGAACACACTGGACAGTGTAGCCAGAATGGCCGGAATGGTCAAGTCACTTGGCCACCCTGAGGCTGTTTTTTCCTTCAGTGTAACTTTGGGGTGGCATCTCTCAGTGGGTAGCAGCTGGTGGGGGTGATGTGTCACGGATAGTGCCCCAGGACATGAAGGTGTGATGGGGCAGCTCTGCTCGCCTGGCTGGCGGGCCGGCACACCAGCCTCCCCTGGCTGGGGGACGGCTCCTCAGCTTGGGCCCTGCTGCCCTCTGCTGGCCGAGGCCCAGTGGCCTGCCCGTGCCCAGGGGAGCTCAGGAGCTGGGAATCCCACCTAACGCTGCGTCCAAGTGCCCAGCTCTGCCACTCACTGCTTTTGGTCCTGATCTTCACCTTTCTGAACTTGTTTCCTCATCTGTAAAGTGGGGGCTTGTAAGGACAGAATTGAGGTAGGATGTGCAGAATGTCACCTACAGGGCCCAACCAGACAGGACTCCGATGCTCTTCGGGTGGCAGACAGGAGTAAGGGTCCTAGAACAATGCTGTTTCGGGTGCATGGGCGTGGTGGGCAGGCTCTGGGTAGGCTGTGTCTTTCATTCAGTGGGAAGCACCTTCCTGGTCGCCATATCTCCAGCTCCCCTCCTGTTCCTCTTAGCGGCAGGAGCGGGCTGCTGGGCAAATACCGGACACCCACCTCCCTGGCTGCTTGTTTCCGCACTGGAACCCCCATGGAGGATAGAGGATGGAGGATGGAGGTATGGAAAGCAAAAACCACATCCTTGTCACCTTCCCCACCCCCTGCCCGGCGCTCAACACTGGACCAGGCTTGGTGTCTCCTCTGCAAACGTGAACCCTGGAAGAATTCCCAGTCCATCCTCCTGGCTTGCCTCACAGGGTCCAGCTGGCCTCACAAAGAGCCTCACGCTCCCTGTCTACTCCCCTCTGAGGCTCCCCATCCTTGTTACTAAGAGGGTCTGAGCTCCCTCCCTCCTCCTCTCAGGGTGTGGTGACCCAGATTGGGAAAAGGAGACCAGCATCCATCAAACACGTCCATGCTTGCTCCTGCTTTGCAGATCCTGCAACAACCTTGCAGAGTAAATAATGGCCCTCATTTCATAGCTAATAACTACAGTTAGTAGTTAAAACCGAGCGAATAAGCACTAGTTGCATGAGCTCGTGCAACACTCCCAGAGGTCGGTCCTACTCTTACCCTCATTTTCCAGGTAAGGAAACTGACATATAGAGAGCCCTAGTGACTCCCCCAAGGTCACAGAGCTGGTAAATTGCAGAACCAGGATTTGAACCCAGGAAAATGCCATACTTTCCACAACCGGACCTTAATCAGAAGCATTTAACTTGGAGGTGAAGTCCTGGCACGGAGGGTGGATGGTCAGCTAGCCAGCTCCGGATCTCTGGGCCGCTCAGCTGGGCCACAGGCTTAGCTGATTCGCCCCAGTGGCTTTGCGATGACTTCCTGGAGGCTGTCCTCCAGGTTCTCGTCCTCCACAAGAGCAGGAGGAGGTCACCTGAAGTGGGGTGATCTGCCAGCCGCTGCTTCCCCACACCCACATGTGGAGCCCAGAGTGCTGTCCAGGCAGACAGGGGAGGGGGAAGCTTCATGACTCACAGACAGAGGGTGTCTCACCCTGTCCACCCGACGATGCCAGGGAGTGGCCTGTCCTGGAGATGACTTGGGGTCCCCACCTCCGCCCTTTGCCTTCCTGGCAGACAGCCCGAGGCCAGGAGGAAGTGGTGTGGAGAAACGAAGGCACTGTGGTTTGGGGCTCTTGGCCCCGCTGGCCAGTGGGCTTCGCCTTCCCCGGCCAGCTCCCGCCTGTCTGGCTGTGCCTGTCCTGCCAGGCTGGGATGTGAGAAGCGGGAGAGTTTGCCTGGTGAGGAGGAGGAGGATAACCACTCATAATAACAACCCTGGCTCCTCAGTGGGTGGGTGTCTTCAAGCACTGCCACTCTCTGCGCTCCTGGGACACCCGGGATGGCTGTGTGTGGCTGATGGGCAGGATCGGGCCTGAAGCTGGAAACCAGTCATTTGACATTCCCCCGCTCCCAGTCCCAGTGCCTAGCAGGGCCTTTCCTCCTCCTGAGTCTCTCATACAGGGGAGAGGCCGGCATTCCCCCCTCCCTCTCAGCATCCCCGCCCTTCCCGCAGTCCATCCTTGCCACCCAGAAGTCACCTGGCCTTGACTTGCGTTGACTTGTTTCTGGACATCTGTAGCTGCCCAACTGGTCTCCTGCTCCACCTCCACCCTCCCAGACACCTGGTCCCGTCACCAGACCTGTCATCTTCAGGAGTTCAAGCTGGCCTCTCCCACAGCACAGGAAGAAAGAGCCAGTTTCTTAGCCAAGGGGCCCTGACAAAGATGCTGCGGTGTGGGTGCAGTGAGGCGGAGCGAGGAAGCCGGCAGATCCGAGGGCTTGCTGGAGAAGGGCTTTGTGGGAGAACAGAGAGTGACTGGGAGGAAGGGCGTGCTGAGGTGGAGGAACAGACTGAGCAAAGGCACGGAGTCTGGCATGGGTGCCAGTGCTGCACGGGTGTGGCTGGGGCGCCAGGTGTCCCAGGCATCCAGCGGGTAGGGGGAGGTGGGCTGCGGTCAGAAGAGGGGAGCCCAAGTCCCCAGCTGCGGAAGTTGGACTTCCTTCTCTGAGCTCAGGGTCTGTGGCTGCTTCCTGTATGCCAGGCTCTGTTTGAGGCACAGGGATTCCATCTGGCCCAGTCTGTGCTCTAGGGAAGCTGCCCATCCCACATGGACACAGACAGGACCGTGCCAAATGGTGACAGAGCTCTCAGAGAAAGTGAAGGGGAGAAGGGGAGGGCGGGGTCTAGGGCAGGGCATGGATCCAGACAGTTCCACTCTAGCACCTTCGTGGGGTGGGCTCTTATCCTACCCAGAGCATGTGTGTAAAGGTATTTCGAAACAAGAAGTGTGGTAGCCCTGACAGGGTAGCTCAGTTGGTTAGAGCATTGTTAGATAGTCAAGATTGCGGGTTCGATCCCCAGTCAGGGCACATACAAGAACCAAACAACGAATGCATAAATAAGTAGAACAACAAATCAATGTTTGTCTCGGATCAGTAAATAAAAATTTAAAAAAAAGAGACGTGCCACAATTAATTGGCGATGCCATTTTAGTTGTTACAGTTAATACTGGGAAGGGCGGGGTGGAGGGAGAAGGGGCCATGTGTGAGTTCTGGCCGCGGTGAGTGGGAGCGGGTGGGTCCTAGGACCGCCAGGTGCATCCTGAAGATGCAGCTCCAAGAACAGCCGCGAGGTGGCGCCAGGTTGCGCGGCCACGAGCTTGGGGTGTTAAGTGATACAGGGGACTCCAGGACTAGCCCTCCACAGGGCTGATGGACCCCGGGACCCCCTTCCTCAGGCCTCAGGGGGGTTTCTCTTCAGTCCAGGGACCTCAGCCCCAGGGTCCGGGGACCAACCTCTGTGGTGACCACCTGTTCGAGGGGCAATTCGGTCACATTCTGGGAACTGGGTCCAAGTGGGCAATAGGTCACTGCCCAGCTCCATGCGGAGCTGCTGGGGCTGTCTGGGCTGGGAGTGCCCCACGCCCTCAGGTCACCACGCAGAAGCTCCGGGTAATCCGCCGCCAGAAGTTGCGACTGCGGCTGCTGAGGGCCACCTCGGCCGCCTCCTGGAAGACGGCGTGGACGTTTTCTTGGAGCCGTGCCGAGCACTCGAGGTAGGCCACTGCACCCACGGACCTGGCCATCTCCTGGCCCTAACAGGGAGGGTGGACCGGCAGCTGTGAGTAGGGGCTGCTGGGGCACGTCACGCCCAGCCTCCCCGCAGCCCTTTCGGCCACCAGCTTCGGGAGTCTCCAGCACGGAAGCGGAAGGCGACTTTTTCTAGGGTACCCATAGCTCCCGCCCCCTTGCTTGACCAAGCGCTCCCGAGGCCTCACTGGGTTTCCTGCCTCAGTTCTGGGCTGGGCCTCTCCTCTTGGGGTACCAACTAGCTTCCCAGGTGTGCTGCAGAGAGGGACCTGCAGACTGATGAGCTGAGGGCCTCAGCTTCCCCACCTGAGACGTGGGTGTGTAGGACTATGATGTGTACATCACTGGTTCTCTTTTTCACAGGCAGAACCTTCCAGAGTATTATAGGAACCGTCTCTGATCCACAGCTGCCTGCAAGGCGACCCCTACCCTGCCCCACACCCTGAATGTGCTGGGCGCCTGGCGCTGCCCTGAGGCTGTGCCGGTCCATGTATCCCAGCGGTTCCCTCTCCCAGCACCCTCCCCCTGGGCTGGGTTTCCTACCCTGTGGTAGGTCACGGGCTCCAACCTATTTTTCCGTAGCTTCTTCACCAGGGACCTGTCCTTGCGCAGGTCAGTCTTGCAGCCCACAACAATGATGGGCACCTCCTTGCAGAAGTGATTCACCTCTGGGTACCACTGCACGGAAGGGGAGGGGTGAGTCAGCTGCCAGAAGGGCTGCGCTCTCTGCAGAGGGGAGAACGAGCCTTCCTCCTGCTGCCCAGGCAGCTGAGCACCAGCACAGCCAGCAGCCAGCAGCCAGCATTTGTTCAGGGGAGGCCCATTCGGGGCCAGGCTCTGAGACTTTACACCTGCGAACCCTTTAACCCCTCACGTCCCTGTGAAGCAACTTCCATATCAACCCCATTGTACACGTGTGGTAGCTGAGGCCCAGAGAGACTATGTAACTTGGCTTGGTCCCGCGACTGGAAGTGGCAGCATTTGATGTCAGTGCCCTGCTTCCCGCAAGGTGAGAGTTCCCAGGCCTGCCTCCCTGGCTGGGTAAAACGTGTAAGCGAAGAAGTGATCCTGTAAAGGCAAAGCGGCTTACGAAGTGCTTGCAGCAGCTGTTTGCCTGTGGGAGGGAGCACCCTCAGCTTGAGTCAGCTGCTCTTTGGAATGTGAGGCTCCAGGTTATTTCAGCCTGGACTACAACCCAGGAGCCTGGAATCCAGAGACAAGGCTTTATTTGTCCGGGAGTGCACGCCTGCTCTGTTTGTCCGTTCACGAAAACCTGGCATCAAACCGGCTAGCTCCTGGAGCCACGTGGGGCCGGAGTGGGGTCCTGCGCAGGTTCCCCACACCCTAGCCCTCTACAGGGGTCTCCTCCATGACTCTACCTTGCTAAATCCAAAGCGAGTCCTCAGCCCTCATCCTGCCTGAGCCCTGACCCGGGGATTGTTGCGCCCTCCTGAGACCCGGTCTGCACTCCACCCCAGGACCCCACTCTCCTGGTTCTTTCTGGGCCTTACCAGCACCCCTACCCCTGAGCTGTGGGCTTGCCTCTCCTCTAGCTGCTCTTGCCCTTCAGGCAACCTCCAGGTGACTGCCCCAAGTCCAGGGCTCTTCCACACCAGCAGCGCCTGAATGGATCGGCCAGGCCCAGTCTTCTCCGGGGAACAGTAGACTCAGGCTCCCACCTGCCTACCTGTCACTTGCACTGGAACATCCAACAGGTCCCTGCCTCCCTCACCCCCAGCCGCCCCCCAGCTTGCTCCTTCTCATCTTGGGAAATGGCAAGTCCTCCTTCCAGTTACTCTGGTCAAAATGTCTCTCTCCCACCCACGGCCAAACCACCTGCAAATCCTGATGGCTTCGCCTCTCAAACAGATTCAGTATCTGCCCATCTCTTACCACCCCCTCGCCTAGAACCCCGGTCCCAGCCACCACCATCTCGCCCGGTCCTCAGTGCCTAGAATAGCGCCTGGCACATAGATGCGCTCAGTCAATACTTCTGAATGACTGCATGGAGAGAATGCTTGGGTTCAAATCCCCGTGTTACCACTTCAATAGATGTGCTTCTTGGAGCAAGTGATCCCACCTGGGGGTAGTAATAGTATCTGTTCCCTAATGTTGTAAAGGAGTTAGCTGAGTAAGTATATGAGTGCCCAGAATAGTGGCTGGCATGAGGTGAGTTCTCATGCTGCCCGCATCGGTGTGTCGTTATTACTGATGCTCCAAGGAACCCTGGAGCGCTGCTCACTCAGAGGCCCTGACACCTGTACTTCTGGAAGCCCTGGTATAACTGTGGAGCATCCTGAGGGCTGCTGGGAGGCAATGGTCACAAAGACGAGGCTGGAAGCTGCTGGAAGCTGACGGTTCATGTGACCTTGGTCAAGCCCAGGCGGGGGAGATTCCGGGGCCTCTGGGTCACCCCGCATTCTCAGGTGGGGTCACAGTAAAAGAACCACAGTGTTCTTAATCTGCAGTAGCAAACAGATGAGTAGCACTGGACTATGGGTCAGGGGACAGGCCCTCCCACCAAATCCCTACAGCACCCCCAGCAAGTTGCTGCCAAAGGCACCGGCCTTGATGTCACCCAGGGCCTGCTGAGCCCTGACAGTCCACTGGGTTGAGTGGGGGTGGAGCAGGGTGGCCTGGCTGTGGGGGCTGTGCCTCGCCCCCCCAAGTACCTACCCGGTTAAAGATGTTGTCAAAGCTGTGTGGGTTGGTGACATCGAAGCAGAGGAGCAGGACGCTGGCGTCAGGGTAGAACAGGGGTCGCAGGCGATCATAATCAACTTGTCCTGGTAGAACGGGCATGGTCACCCTCTCCAGATCCACTGTCAGCCCCACCCCAAAATCAAGCCAGGGATCCCACCAGGCTGTGTGCATGTGTGTGTCTGGATCAGGGTCATAGATTGCCATTTCACGTGAATGTCCCCCTCGGGGCAGCGTTCCCCTGGCCTGCCGGCAGGATATGCCGGTCCTGGCCTGGGCGAGGCCATTTGCTGGGGTATCCCTGTTTTGAAAGGTTGGGGCAAGGTGGAGGCCCAGCCTGGAGGGGTCGAGGCCGTCACTCAGGGCCTGCTTTGCCCTGGGCTTGGGGATGGGGAGGGGAGGGGAGAGAAGCAGGTGGGACCCCAGCAAAGACATCTTTGCCTACGCAAGGTCAGGAGGCTGCTAGGACTCTCTGAGGGTAGCTTGAGATCTGATGTAAATTTGACGTTGAAAACCTTCTGTGGGCAAGGTCAGGAGGCTGGAGAGCAGACGTCAAGGTCAGGCAGATCTTACAGAAGCTAAAGCCAGGGTGAAATGCTGAGTCCAGGAACCGTCCACCCCTTGAGAGCAAAGAGCTCTGGCTGCCCCATTGTCTCCAGGACACGTCAGGCTGCCCTGGGGTCGGGGCAACGGCGGACCCAGGCTCAAAAGCAAGGAGGGTCTGGTTCCCGGGAGGGCCCTAGTCCTGGCCCACACATGTCCCTTGGAGATTGGTCAGCCTCCCCTATTCAGAAGGTAGGAGCGCGGCTTGGTTCCCGGCACCTGGGGCCCCTCTTTCCACCCTGTACCTCCCCCAGTCCTGCACACCCACCTGCTGTGTCCCAGATTTGGAGGTGCACAGGCTTGCCCTTCATTTGCAGATTAACAGTGAGCCGCTCAAACACCGTGGGGGTGTAGCTCTGAGGAAGAAGGGGGTGAGGAGAGGCGGTGAGGGCAACTTCTGAGAGCGGGCAGGCCGGTGCCCAGGCCAGGGCCCAGCGATGCCCACGGGCCCGCCCTTGGTGGGAGCTGGCAGAGTGTGGTTGTTTCTGGAAGTGGTCTGGTGGGTTGAGGCCTGGAGCTACCACTTCCCAGCTGTGTGCCAGCAAGGCGCCGGCCCCTGCTCCTCCAATGTCAGGGGGAGTATCAGAGGCACCCACCACAGCGCGCTGCCGTGGGCCTTCACTGAAATGCTCCATGCAGAGCCTTTAGCCCAGGGCCCAGCACAAAATAAACATTCCACACATGCCGGCCACTGTTATTTTTATCTTTGTCCCCTTGGACGGGGGACTGTCCCATTTCTGAGCCTTCCTTCATGCTATCCCCTCCTCCTGGAATGACATTAACCTACATTTGTGTATTCGTTCATTCATTCATATGTTCGGTCATAGTACCTTCTCTGAGTCCAGTTCTGGACCCTGGGAGCAAGAAATGAACAAGACTCAGTGCCTGCCTGAGGAGCATGTTCTGAGTGTCTCTTCTTTGCCTTTCCACCTCTCATAGTCCAACTGAGACCCCTGCCCAATGCCACCTCCTCCAGGATCCCCTCCCACGGCCCCTGTGGATTCTGCCTCTCTTATTTGCCCGGTCTGGGCGCAAGAGAAGGCCAAATGGGCCAGATTCCCCTCGGCCCCCAGCCTGGAGCTTGCTTCCTCTCCGTAAAAGAGGGGTGAATGGAAAGATGACGGGTTTTGTACACAGGAATCAAGGGAGAGCTTTTACAGCCCTGACTGGTGGGGCTCAGTGGACTGAGCACCAGCCTGCGAACCAAAGGGCTGCCGGTTCGATTCCCAGTCAGGGCACAGGCCTGGGTTGTGGGCCAGGTCCCCAGTAGGGGGTGCGGAAGAGGCAACCACACATTGCTGTTTCTCCCCGTCTTTCTCCCTCCCTTCCCCTCTCTTTTAAATAAAATCTTTAAAAAAAAAAAGATGTGGGGGAGGATCCTTTACAGATAAGGTTTGAGCAACAGGTGAGGAGGTTTTCAAAACTGCCACACAAGCCCTCTGCCCAGCGGGGCACGCTGGACCACTGCAGCTGGGTCCCTAGGCCTCGCTCCCTTGCTCAGGGGGCTGGTCAGCAGGGCGACAGCCCCGGAGACCCAGTCCTCCCCGCCGCCCATGCTGTGCGGGGCCTGCCTGTGGCCAGGCCGCAGAGTCAGGCCCTGGCCTCTGGGAGGGGCAGCCCCCTATCTCTGGGCCGGGGAAGGTGGAGCCTTCCGGGGCACTTGGGTAGCTGCATGGGCAAGGTGGGGCGAAAGGAGGGTCCCAGAGCAGGCGGCTGGGGCAGATGGAGACATGAAGATGACCCTGGGGTAGCGGTTCGACCCGTCCTGGACTCTTGTCACCTTTTACCCTCTCTAGGAATAGGAAGAGAAAAGCTCCCGCACGCGTCCCCTTGCCCCTCTGCCTGGCAGGGGACAGTGTGACACGGTGCCGAGGAGCACTGCTCTGGAATCAGATGCACCCAGCTTAAGACTGGCTGTGGCACTCACCGGCTGTGTGACCTTAGGCCAGTTTCGTCCCTGGTTAAAGGAGAACAGCGTCACCTCACAGTGTGACGGGAAGGCTGGCTGGCAGGTAAGGCCCTGCATCAGTGTCTGCCACTTAGACAGCTGCTTGCCAGCCTCTGTCCATCCCTCCGGCACGTGCCCCTACCCCCACCAGCCTGTAATGGGAGGGCACCGACGCCCGCTGAGCTCCGCCTCGGCCACCCACTCACCCGCAGGGAGGTCCTGTGCAGGGCCCCTCCTGACCTGAGGGGCAGGGCACGTGCCACCCGCTCTTGGGAGACACAAGTCAGTACTTTGCAAATGCCTGTGGAGATGACACTGTTACCCACCTTCTCTAGGGATTTGCTGTGCACAGCCTTTTACCCACATGTGTCTGATCCCTCCAACCTTGGAAAATCAGTCCTATCCCCATTTTCCTGATGAGGATGCTGAGGCCCAGGGAGAGGAAGAAACTTGCTCCGAGGTATCATAACGGTCAGCTGGCTAGAGATGGAGCCAGGTTTTGTCCTCAGCCACCTGCCTCGCCTGAGGTCACCAACTCTAGCCCCTGGTGCCAGGAGTGAGCAGGAAAGGCCCATTCCATGATGTGGGGCTGGGTTGCTCCTCTGGCTTGTAATTATCACAACCTGTCTCCCTACTCTGGAATGTCATCCTGGAGACTTTGTCTACATCTTCTGCTTTGTTCTTTGAACTCCCAGGCAGGGTTACTCTCTGTGCACAGGATCAATAGCACCTAATCCTTATCTGTTGAGCTGTCCTCGCTCAGAAGGGCAGGGCCAGACCTGGGCTAGACCAGGGCAGAGATGACTCAGGCTCGGGTCTGCCCTCATGGGGCTTATAGACGGGCAGACGGATCATCGCGGGATGGGGACATAGCTCAAGAGAGAGGAGTCAGGGGCAGTACACCTTGAGCAGTGCACCCACGGCAGTCCCTGTGTGGACCAGGGCACGCAGCTGGTTCTGGAAGGCAGGGCTGGTACTCCCTGCCCCGTCCCTACCCTGCTGCCCAGAGTCCCTGGGCTTTTGGCCCCCCGGGAGCGGTTGCCGCCTCAAATGTCAGCTGGGAGTGCCCTGCTGCAGGAGCGCTCCTACTCTGCTCCCTCTGCCCTGAACCTGAGGTGGGGGCACTGCCAGACAAAAGTCGCTGAGTTCCCTCCAAGTCCCAGCCTGCTCTCTGCTCTTTGCTGCAGACAGGAGGCCTGGGAGATGGGGCCCCAAGTCTCCTAGCTTCCGGCTCTTTGGTCTTGGAGGGCTGCCGGGAAGAGGCGTTCAGGGGCAGGAGCAGAAGGCTGGGTCCAGCAGGCAGAGCACTGGGGGCGGCAGAGGGCAGGGAGACCTGGGTTCCAGGCCAGCACTGCCACTACTTGTGCCTTGTGCCCCAAAGTGAGACTCTGTCTCTCTGGCCTCAGTTTACCCATCTCTGAAATGAAGGCCTTTCCCACCACTGGACCTTGTGTTCCTTTTAAACGAAGAGGACTCTCTTGTGCCTGGAGGCAGAGGGATTCCTGGGAACTCAGAGTCCCCAAACCGGGAGGAGCCTAGGCAAGGCCAGGTCCATCCCCCAGTTGACAAATGTGCCCTCCCTTCCCTTGGGCAGCTCCAGTGTGTCCTTCAACACACATTTCATCAACCGTGAGATGCCCACCTCCATATTGTAACCTTTGAAATCGGGATGGGTCTCACCTTCAGGGACACTGGTCTCAGAGCCCAGGACACTGGTGGTGAGGCGCGGCCCCTCCCAACCCCTCTCCTGGGACCCGCTGGCCTGGCCCCTCTGTGGTGCTCTCCACCCTGTGCCATAATTGTTGGGTTCCCACGGGCGGCATCTGGGGGCCTGGAAACACATTTCCCACAACTTAAAAAAATGGAACTGGCCAAAGGAGGTGACGTCAGCTCCATAAACCACAAGTCTGCTCGATGCTGCCACAGTGGAAAGAAAGGCCTGACACTGTTACCAGGTTTGGCCTCTCCTGCCTCCACCATCCGACCCCCCAGCGCGGGCACAAGCCCAGGGGTTTGCAGGGCGCTGGGAGAGGCAGGCGGGAGAAGAGACGCCGAGGGCAAACCCACGGCTCCCAGGAGAACTGGGCTGAGAAGGGCACAGCGGGTGGGTTCAGCCCCTGTGCTGGGGCCTGGCAAGTCTACCTGGACAGTCAGTGAGTGTGCTAGTGAAGCACTGATAGTCTATACGCCCAAGCATCAAGGACGTGCCAGGCACCATGCAGGGTCATCTCTCAGCCTTACTTTAATCCTACCTTTCCACCTCTCTGGCTCCCCACAGCCCATGAGGTCGTGTGAGGAAACAGAGGCTCAGAGAGGTTAAGCAAGTCACTGAGGACCACACAGTTCGCGAGGAGTGCCAAGGTGCCAATCAGCTGTCTGACTTGAGTCTGATGCACTCTTACCCTCCAGGGCAGAGCCCGGGGGATGTCCACGGTAGGGGCAGAGCTGTGGGAGATAAGATGTTTCCCAAGAAAGACGTTTGCTGTCTGTAGTGAGTCCTTCCTGTTGCAGGTTCAGCGCAGAACCCCTGACCTGTATTAACAACTCACTCTTCGCAGTGACCCTGGGTGGTGGGCACCGGGCACAGAGAGGGTAAGGAGCGTGCCCAAGGGCACACAGCTGTAAATGGCAAAGTTGTGATTCGAACTCAGAAGCCTGGCTCCAGAGGTCAGCTCCCCTTAGCCATGCAGTGGCACCGAGTGCTCCCTTATAACCTGCTCCCACCAGGTTGCCCTGTGACACCGACACGGCTAGGTGCCGCGCTCCCAGATGACATCCTTGAGGCCCTCACTCCGGATGGCATGGTGAGAACTGCCTTTGAGCAGGGCGCACTCTGCCGGGAGACCCCTCTGGAGGCCAGCGGGGGCACACATCCTCGGCAGCTCCCGCACAGACGGGGCACACCAGGAGTCCCTGTGTGGCCGTGGTCAGGCGGGGATGAGCGCACAGACGTGGGCGCCGTGCCCGAGGGCTCTGGCACTCACCTCGGGGAAGTCCCCATCGGCGAAGACCATCAGCAGCGACGTCTTCCCGCAGCCGCCGTCGCCCACCAGGACCACCTTGACCGACCGCGCGCCCGGTGGCGCCTCCTCATCCGCGGCCTGGGACGCCTTCATCGCGGGGCCGGCCGAGGGGCCGGGCGCGGAGCGGCGTCCGCCCGGGCTGTGGCGAAGGCCGGGCGCGGGGCAGGCCCGGCGGGGCAGGAATGTGGAAGGGGCGGGGCGGCGGGAGGAAGTGCGAGCCGGGCGGGGGGCGGGCGAGCGGCCGCGGAGCTCAGGTGAGAAGGCCGGGCCGGGGACTGCGCGCGCGAGGCGGCGAGGCGTGGGGGCTGGGCGCGGGCCCTTCCCCTCCCGTCCCATTCAGGCATTAAAGAAAAGTTTCTTAAGCACCTACTGTGTGCAGGCGCTGAGACCACAGCCGGGGTGGACCCCGACTCAAGTCTGTCCTCAGGAGGGAATTCTGCGCTGGGGACAGGGGTGGGAGAAAGCTGGTCAGTGACAGTGCGTGTAAGATGTGGACAGGGAAGGAGGAGGCACCTGGCCCACGTTCCCTGGGAGGAAGGTGGGGGTCGGCCACGTTTGCCTGCCAGCCTGGTGGGGAGGGGCGCTGGGTTCCACGTGCCCAGTACAGGTTGGGCGGGGAGCAGACTCCAGCAACTTTTGATGAGGGGGTGAACGAATGAATGAATGTGCACTTCCCCCAAGGGCTCTGGAGACACACTCCCTCTCAGTCTTCCCTCCAGGTGTTTGAGTCCCGGTAGGAATGGGGTGAGCTGGCTCAGTCCCTGGCACTGCCACCACTTGTCTGCACCGCTCCCCCCCCAAGGCAGCCTGAGGAAGTTTCACTGCAGGTGGGTGACCACCTGTCTCACTTCTGGCTGGGGCATGATCTGGGGAAAGCAATGGAATCTTCCACCTACAAAGAGTTCAGATCGGGTCTGGCGCATGGTTGGTGCCTTGTGTGAGTGGCCTCATTATTAAACCAACGCTGATGGTCCGTCTGTGCCCAAGGGCCTGGGGACGCTGAACTGTTAAGACAAAGTCCCTACCCTGAGAAGCGCATGCCTAGAATGTGAGACAGGCAGAGTGTCGGAGTGTTCAGAGTGACAGTAGAGGTGGGGACAGGCAGCAGGATGGTTGTAGGGAAGAGGAGCCCCTCCCCTGGGTTGGGGGGTGTCAGGAAACCCTTCTGAGAAGAGAGACCAGAGTCTTGAGGAAAAAGTGAGACACAGTCAGATGGGGGCGGGAAAGTTTTCCCAAAGGAGGAAACAGCATGTGCAAGATAGGGAGGCCAGAGAGAGGGGGGTGCTTTGGGGGCCACAGTCCTTCCTTGTGACTGAGGGTGAGGTGGGTGGGGGAGCTGGTGCCCAGGTGAGGCTGAGGGTTAGCCAGCCTGGGTAGTGGAGCCCTTCGGTTGCCAGAAAGAAATGCAGGATTGAAGTGGAAACTCACTGTCACCGGCCCTCCCTCCCCTGTTAACAACCAGAATTAAAATCTAAAAATGGGTGCAAGGGCCTCCTCAGATCCTGCAATGAGTGTTTTCATTGAAGCTCAAGAAACCCGGGGGGCAGACGTCTTTGCTCTCCCCCTCTGCGCTCATGATGTCATCTGCATGAACTTCAAAGCCCTGCCCATGAAAAAGCCCCCTGAGCCCCCTTCAAACCTCACTGTGGCCCAAAGAGGCAGCCAGGGCAGGTGTCACCGTCCCGCCCTCACCGCATGGCAGAGCCCAGACCCTGACTCATCTTCCACGCTCACCCTAAGCCCTGCTCGGCAGGCTGGATGGAGCCTCACCTGGAAGGAGGGAGCGTCCAGGGTTTCCCCACCCTTCAGGTGCTCTTTCCTCCCTGAAACTGCCATGGGGCTGGGCAGCAATTTGGCGCTGGGCTGGGTGTGTGGCGGTAGAGCAGGGCTGCCCGCCCTGCCCCATAGAGTGGGGGGGAGGGGCCCCCGGGATCAGCTGTCAGCCTCGTAGTCGCCTGTCCCACCCACTGCTGCTGACATCAGGCTTTGGGCGGCATGGCTGGGAGGCAGGTGGGGCCAGGCTGGGGGTGGAGGGAGCTGAGAGTCAGGCAGAGGAATTTGGCCACGGTTGCCATAGGGATAATCGCTTTAATGACATCTTCGATGTGTGTCATGCTTTGCAGTTTCACTGAACGTTTCCTAATCATAACAGCACCCATTAATGGATCGCTAAGCCTGTGCGGGTGCCGTCCTTGGCAGGTGGGGATCGTTAGCCCCATTTCACGGATGAGACACCTGAAGCCCGGAGAGGTTAAGTTCTTGTGGAAGATCCACAGCTAATAAGAGGCAGAATCTGAATTTGGACCCAGGCCTGGCCACAAAAGCCCGGCTCTCTCCCTACCGTACACCTCACATGCCTGAGTTCATTTAGTGCTCTGACCTGCTGAGGTCAAACCCAGCCTCACCCCCACTCAGTGCTCAAGCTTCTGCACGGGGGAGAGTAGGGCCCATGAAATCTGCCCTGGTTGGCAAGGAATTTCCCCAAATCTCAGAAATTGCTGGGCCCGGGCAGCACTGTTGTCCTGGAGTTCACTTTGGAGCGGGGAGATGGCCCAGGCCAGGCTGCCTGGCCAGGGAGCTGTTTACTGTCCTGCTGTTTCCTGTGGCTGCTGTTTACTGCCAGCCTGTGGGTGACTCAGCCCCTTGAGGTCCCACTGGTCCCAAGTCCAGAGTCCTTTGGAAACCCCACAGGGTAAGGTCGCAGCCCCAAAGACCTTGGAACAGCAGAGGTGGCCAGGCTGGCCCTCCTGTGGCTCAGGCTGTCATGTCCAATTGCCTGCCTCGCTGGATAAGGGGGAGGGGAAGGAAAGTGAGGGAGCAGGGGAGAGAGGAAGGAAGGCAGGCAGGAAGGCAGGCAGGAAGGCAGGCAGGAAGGCAGGAAGGCAGGACGGCTGACTCAATAAGCAGAGTAAAGAAATGAATAAAGGAACAAACAGTTGCATGGATGAGTGAACACAGCGCATGGCCTGAGTTCAGGGTCAGCAGATGGGTGCCCACCCTCCAGCTTCCATCTGCTCCAAGGCCCCTCTGCCCCATTTCCTGACACGCCAACCCCGTCTTCCAGAGGCCCCGGGGCCCCTGCAGCCCCAGCCGAGTCTCTGCTGCCCCTGTGTGGTGGCTCTTCTCCCTGCACCATCCTCACCCAGCGGGGCCTGCTCTGCTTGGCGTTTCTGGATTGGGTTCCAGGGTGCTTGTGAATGGCTGAAGGGGAGAGAAAAGTGGGTGCCAGGGGGTGTGGAATTTCAGAGTCTGGTCCCGCCCTTGGAATGCCTTGGCTGGGGACACAGGTCCTTTGCTCCTCATGCCTCCCTATGGACCCTCTGGCCCTTTCATCCCAAACACCAAATCCCAAGGGCTGGAACTCCACCCAAAGGCTCCACCTCATGTTTAGAGATCACTCACGGTGGGCCAGACACCCGGCAGGTATCGTTTCATTCCATCCTGCGAAGTGTGTATAGTTCTTATGCTGACAATCAAGGAAACTGAGGCCCAAAGATCCCACAGCTGATAAGAGGAGCTGGGGTTCTAACACAGGCAATGGGGTTCTAGAGCCTCTACACGCAGAATCCCCAAGTCAGATGGGGAAACTGAGGCTCTCGAGGGGAAGGGACTTGTCCCACAGCAGGTTAGCAGCAGACCCCGGTCTATGGCAGGCAGAGCCAGGAAGGGCCTTTCTTCTCCAGTTTTCTTCCGTCGGGCTCCCCAGACCAATTCAACCCCCATTGCCATTTGACTGGGGACGCAGCCCTCTGCCCACGCCTCCCTGCCCTGCCTCCCCATTATTGCTCCTCCTGGGGAGGATGAGAGGGTTGATTATAGGGCGGGAGTAGGCGGAGAGCGAGGGAGCCCTGTGGCCCAGTCTTAGTGTTTATTTAGCCTTTCAGATTGTCCCTTCCGGTGTCTGCAGCCACAGACAACCGCAGGCAGGACAGAGGAAGGGAGATCTTGAGCTGCTGACCACTGTGGGTGATAGCCCTACTGGTCCTGCTCCTCCCACGTGCAGGCCTGGCCTGGCCGACAACGCTGGTCAAGGCAGTGACCTCCATGCATGTTCTCTTGGGTGGGGCTCAGCCTGTCCCTGAAGGCTCCCAGACAGAGGGGGCCTGGGGTTAGAGGAGGGGGAAAGCGGAGGAGGGGGGATATAAAGGAGGGGGCAGGAAGAGATGGGAGCAGTGGGGTTTGGGCCCTGCTGAATGAACTGAAAACCTAAAGGGGGCAAGGCTGCCCCTCACTGACCCAGTGTTCCCCTTCCTGCCACCTGCCTTCGGACGTGCTCCGCCCGGGACTCCTCTGTGGCTCCCCACAGCCAGCAGGACAAGGACCTTTGGACTCAGGCCGGAAATGAAGCCTCCCCAGTTCAGCCACACCTAATCCCTGCTCCCCAGACACATGCAACACGTACACGGGCACTTCCCGGCCTGGAGGCCCCTCGCCCTCCTCCCTCATCCGTCAGAGGCCCAGTCTGCGGGCCCTGCAGAGCCAGGGCTCATGTTTCCATCTCCTCTGTGAAGTCTTCCCTGGTGTCAACCTTCACTGGCCCCTGCAGCAGCCGGTCTCATTGGTCACATCTGTCTCCCCTGTGTTGGGAGGTGGGGGTTCCACAGAAGCTCTTCGTAGTCAGGCCTCGGGGCGGGCAGGCCTCCTGGGGGATGTTGGGAATGCCCACCCAGGTCCGCCTCCTCCCTCGCTTGCTGTGATCTTTCAGGGGAGGTCGGGGAGGGGAGGCCAGAGCACCACCAGAGCAGCCTGGAATCCAGGGGGGGGCTCCTCTGTTGCCCCTCAGCCCGACTCTTGAAGAGCTGGAGGAGGGGGCAGTGTTGCCTGGTGGTTAAGGGCATGGGCTCTGGGGTCAGACAGCCTGAACTTGAATCCCAGCTCTGAGACTTTTAGGCTGTGTGGTCTTGGGCTAGTTACCTAACCTGTCTGAGCTTCAGTTTCCACAGCTGCCAAAAGGAGGTGACATAGTACCTACCTCTGATTGTGACAGAGCTGCAGGCCAGACACCAGCACCCACCGACTTCCCACCAAGCCTTTCCTCTGGCTCTGCTCTCCCCCGCCCTCCCCTAACTTTGATCTAACAAGGTCCAGAAATTGGCCAAGGTTTTGCCCTTTTCTCCTTGCTGTTCCCTCTGCCAGGAGTGCCTTCCTCATGGCTCCTGCTGCCGTCCTGCCCACAGGCCCGGCTCAGGGCCCCTTCTCTGAGCTTCCCCAGCAGCCTTGTGGCATTGGTCCTTGTCACAGTCTCCCCAACCAGACCGGGGCCTCCCCAGCCCCGGGCACCCCGCGGCGGGGGAAGGAGGGCTCACAGGAACCCGCAGAGGCCCGAGTCCCTGGTTCCTAAAGAAGAGCTGAAGGTGATTCGGGCTGAGCAGGGCTCCCGGAAGCCCCCTTCTTCCTGCCCCAGCTTTATTTTGGTTCTAGAATCATTCCACTCAGCATATTCAGTCCCCACCACAGTCCCCAGGTGCACAGTCAACATTTCATGCAGTTAGAAGGAAGGAAAGAGGGAGAAGACGTGGGAGTCACAGCCGGCACTGCAGAGCCCCTAGGGTAGGAGGAGTCTCGGGTCTCCCAGGCTGCAGTGGGCACCAGTTATGTGTCCCTGGGCCATGCAGACCTCCCGGTGCTGGCTATAGCGTGGACAGCCTGGCCTCCTCAGGGCTGGGCCGTGGCTGTGCTGGGTGGGGAGAGCCACAGTCCTGCCTCTCTCCCAGCCTGCTCCAGCCACGCCCTCCTGCCACATCATTGGGGAAAAACGTGTGGGCCTGGGTCTCCATGGCTCACCAGGGCCAGAGGCAGCCAGCCCGAGATCCCATGTGCTCACCTGTGGGTGGCCACAGAGAGTAGATGGTGCCCCTCACCCCATCCCTTTAAACCAACATGGACACCCACCCCTCAGCTGTGAAGGGTGCACAGCTGCCTGCTTTTGGGGGACTGCTCTTGGTGAATGGGAGCTGCCTCAGCCAGTGACCTTCCTCCAGCTGAGGGCGGGGAGGTAGCCAAAGATGATGCCTGTGGGGGTGTAAGAGCTCAGCCCCTCCGTTCTAGGCAGGACCCCCCTGGGGTGCCACCCACACTCAGAGCTTCCCCCAGCATCAGGCTGACGCTGGACTCTCCTGAAGCCACAACTTGCTCGCTGCATGGGGCTTCCCTCTTGCTCTTACAGGGGCCCCTGGGGGCTCTTCCTGACCAACCCCTCGCCCTTGAAGCCTCACCCCAGCGTCTGCCTGGGGAGCCCGCCCCAGGACACGTGGTGTTCCAGAGCCACCTCCTTCCCCGTCTCACACTCCGTTCTCACCCCCGACTGTCCTTTGCTGCCACTGCACAGGCCACCCCTCCCTCCAGCCGCCCCTCCCTCCAAAGCCCAACCCAAGGGTCTCCTGCTCCTAGGTGTCCTCTCAGGAGCCCGCAGCCCCCAGGGCCTCTCTCCCAGACCCCGTGCAGTCTGTGTTCTGGCCACCTTACCGCCCACAGTCCCCACAGGCTGAGACATCTCTCTTCCCAACAGGGCCTGGCCTGGAGGGGCTCCCACAACGCTGTGGAGCCAGTGCCCAGTGCACATGGGATTGAACACAATGACATGGAGCTGGGCCTCTGCCGACCTCTGGGCCTTGTTAAGGGTGATGGTTCAAGGGAGCAGATTTCAGAGGATGACTCCAGAGCCAGCGTCCCATGAGGCCTGAGGGCCTCTGCTCGCTCGGTCTCTCCTCCTGCCCAGAGAGAGGCCCTTGGGTGTGCCACAGCGGGCTGAGGACTGTGGACAGGGGCACTCCCATTCCTGTCATGCTCAGGCTGGGTTGCCGGCCTGGGACTCTCTCGGTTCTTTCCTTACCCCCCAAAAAACAGCCGCCATCCAGCCCCCAGCCTCCAGGGCCCTCCCCGAGTCTGCCCGGCCGGGCCGCCATGCAGCACCGAGTAGGCCACCAGGACAGGGGATCTCGCCTTCCCGGCGTCCTACAGGTCTGTGTCTTGTTCATGTCACGCCTGCTGGTGCCTAGTGCAGCGCCTGGCTTCCAAGACTCACTCTGTTCCAGTGCATGGCCCAGCTCGGCGTTGGCCTCCCAGCTGGGGTGTGGGGAGCTCCGGGAGGCCAAGGTCCCCCCGGCTGAGGGGCAGACCCACGGGGGCTCTCAAAATGGGAGAACGATGAGCCAGTGCCCAGCTACAGCAGGTCCTCAGTGGGAGAAACCCTGGGTCCCTAGTAGCCACCCAGGCCCGTTCCTCCTGTGCAGTCTCGATAGCGGGACCAAGATGGCTCATGGGGAGTCCACCAGGGGACCCCAGCACTCATGGCTTCAGCTGGGCATTGGAGAAGGGTGTCACGCCTGAGCTTGCACCAGGCTCCGGGCAGCTCCAGTACCCGCCCTGGCCTTGCCCTGGCTGCTAGTTTCGCCGGACGGGGTGCCACATGGACACAGGCCTGCGCAGTGTGGCCAGCATCTGGTTCCAGTGCGTGGTGCCCATGCCACTGGCTGATGGCCCGATGATGACATGGCCCACGTTGTCCCCACGGCCATCGCTGCTGCTCTCAGCAACCGTCACGCGGAGAGACAGGTCCTAGGGAAAAAGCGATATGGGTGCTGGGGACCAGGGACAGTGCCAGAGGTCCTCCATGGCTTCTGGGCCCCAGTCCACAAATGCCAGGCCCCAAGGGGGAGCCAGGTGCGGCGCCAGGCGCGGCTCCCTCAGTCCTCACCTCTCATCTGCCTGACCCCACAGGCTTCTGGTGCTGCCTCCCTGCATAGAGGCAGCGCCAGGTGGCCCACGTTCAAATGCCAGCCTCCCCTCTTCCTGGCTGCATGACCTTGGACAGCAACTTGGGCTCTTCCTACCTCAGTTTCCCCATCTGTAAAATGGTGATATTCATAGTTCCTACCTGTCCTGGGAACAAAATGTAAGGCACTTCGAAAGGTGCCTATACACAGAGCATTACAATGTCTGTTTTTTCTCCTAATGTAACTGTAGGTTGAAGGCAACTGTAGAAGGGAAAGAACTTGCTCGAAATCAAAGTAGTAAAGCTGAAACTAGAACCCTGCCTGACCTCTTTTCTCCCTGACCTGCCGCCTCCTGGTCCCAGGAAGCGTCTGGCTCTTGGAGGCTATGGCGTGGTGGCCCTATGATTACCCCAGAGGGAAGCAAGGGACAGATGGGCATCCTGTCCCACGAGGGTGGCAGGGCAAGGCAGCAACACCCAGGACCCACCAGAGGTTGCCAGATGTTGGCCTGGATTAGGAACACCCAGCCTGTGGCAGAGCTCTGGGCTTTCAACTTGAGCAGGGTGTCCTGGAGGGGAGATTAACTGTCCCATAGCTAAACGGCAGCTTTTGCCTCAAAGCACTAAAGCACTTTCTCACTGTCAGGAATCCCCAGGATGGAAGGTGGTAGTTAGGGGAGGTGGTGAGCTCCCCATCCTCAGAGGCATGCAAGAGGGACCACTGGTGTGGCCCAGGCCCTATGCTCTGCAGTCTCCTCACCCTTTGTCTGTGAGAGCTGTGCTGGGAGGGGGCCACCTCCCGAAGGTCATGGGGGTGTGGGGTGCTTAGCAAGGCCTCTGCAGGTAGAACTTCGGGAGGTTTAGGGTGGAACTTGGTGCCCGGGCTCATCTCCAGGGTTGTGCCGTTCCCTCCCCTGGGAACTGTCTTCCCCTGGACTTCAGCTTAGCTAAGCCCTCCTGCGGAAGCCTCCTGGACCGTCCAGGCCTGGCCTGCTCCCCGTTGATTAGGACTGCTGGGGACTTTCCTGCCCTCGTAAGTCCCGAGGAAGCAGGGCCCGTGTCCTTAGCACCCTCCCTAGAGCTGCACCTAGCGGGTGCTTAGCAAAGGCTTCTTGACTACATGGCTTGAAGCAAACTATCAGCACCTGCAGGAGCCCTGAGAAGCTGGGCCGCAGGGGCTGAAGTGGCCCCAGAGCCCCGGGGGCGGCCTGGTCTGGCCCCCGTCCCTGCGCCCTGTCAGCCTCACCTGGAGCACAATGGCTGGCACAGAGAAGATCATGGCTTCATTGAACACTGGGTTGGGGTCGTCCCTCTTCACAGCTGTCTTCTTTTTGCTCATCTTCCTCCCATCCTGCAGCAGGTACACCTTGACGTAGGGGTCTGGGTGGGTGAGGGGGTGGAGGTGAGGGCCACTGCCACCCTCACTTGGCACAGCCTGTCCCCCCCCGGGAGGCGCACTGGCCCTACCCTCCCAAACCTTCACTATGGCCATGATCGCCTGCAGTCCCGCCTTTGCTCCTTTATTTCTTTCCTGTTTGACAGATGAGAAAACTGAGGCTCACTCACGAGTCGGGAGGACATCTGGGCTCTGGGTGCAGGCAGCGTGCCTCCCGCCCAGGCTCCCCAACCATGTGCTCCCCTCACACGACATTCGGGGACCTTGGAAGACCCGCCACTTTTCATTCTATAAATGGCCCAAGCGCAGACGTCAGCTCTGAGTCAGCCGGCTCCCACTCAGCAGGGTTGACTTGATGATGTGGGGCTCTGAAATAACGCATCTCTCTCTGCGCCTCACCCACAGCCTACTGGGTGTCCTTGCTGTGCCTGCCCGGACCCCAGGTCCCCCCAGGCTCCACCGGGCTGGGCTTCCATTACCTGGGGCCGGAGGCTCCTGCCGACCCGGGACGTCGGGTCCTGCTGGGCACCTATACCATCCCAGTGGCCCTAGTCCCCATTTGGGATCTGGAACGCGGTCCAATCTCTGGGAACGGAGCCCCTACCATGAACTCCAGTTCTGGGAAGTGGGCACCTACCTTGGTTCCTTCCCAGCGCCCCAGACCTGCCACTCTCAGATTCCCATCCCTGCCCCTGCAAGGGGTTCCCTGCCTCCCTCCATGGTTCCCATGTTTCCCCAGCTAGATTAACCTTCCCACACTGCACAGCTCCTGAGCTCAGCCATAGCCGGGGGCGGGGAGCCAGGCATGGTGCCCCACACCTACTGATGTGTCCAGGTGTCCCGGTGGAGCAGCTGGGCCACAGCCCCATGGAGGAGCCAGGCAGCCAGCCAGGCCTTACCCGCGGTGCTCTTGTCGTTGGTCCAGATGAGATTCTTGGCCTTCACCACGACCACGGTGAGGCGCTCGGCTGTGGGGAGGTAGCTGAGGGAGAGCAGGATCTCGCCTACAGCGTCGGCGGCCTGGGGGACAGACAGGTGGTTCAGAGGGCTTCTGTCCCCTGATGGGTCCAGGCAGAGGCAGAGGCTGCCTCCTCCACTGAGAAGTTGCTGTTCTTGGGGGCCCCTCGCAACAGCGCACCAGGCTGGTGGGAGTGAGAAAGGGGCCCCATCCCCAATCCATGAAGCACGCACTGGCCCTTCCCGCAATGTGGGCCCGGCCTCAAAAGGGGGGCCAGAGGCTGCCTGTCAAATGCAGCCTCCAAGTGTAGTTACGCTGCCTCACTCTCGGCCAAGGAAAACATCCCGTGGTAGTGGTCAGAAAGGCCCAAGTGGCCTGCAATCGGTAGATGATCTGCTCAGACAACAGTAACGCTCCCCAAGCACTCTCACGTTGATAAAGGTAAACTCCAGCTTGGCCTCTGTCTGAAATAACTCATGTTGGTGGGGGCGGGGGCGGGGGGTGGTATTGTGCTCCCCTAATGGAAGCTCTAGAGCAGCCTGGAGGCAGGAGCAGCAGAAGAGCTGTAAACAGCGGTCATGGTGTCTTTCACGTGCATGCAGAAAACTGAGTCTTCTTGGGTGTGGCTCAGGTCCCTTTCTCTAATTTCCTAGAGATGCTGGTGTCCAGGCGGCTGTGGAGGACAGCAGAGTCCCTCCTCTGAAGTGTGTGTGTGTGCACGCGCAGGCGCGTGCACAATACTCTCCTCACGGGGGGCCTGGGGGCCAGGCTTACCTTGTTCTGGTCCTGTAAGTAGAGCCAGCCACTGAAGGGCTGCAGCGGCAGGTCAAGCACAGAAAGCTTCAGTTCCACCACCCCCGTGCTGACGTTCCGCTCATCCTCGTCAATGCCGAAAACGGAAAACCGCAGGCTCTTCTCCTCCAGGGCTGCGGGATCCAGGGGGATGGAGAACTTCTCGTCGAAGAAGATGGAGTAGGCGTTCCTCTGGATCTGCAGGGAGAAAGGGCTGTAAAGGGCGCTTCAAGGCCAGGGAGGGGGCGGCAGCCAGGGTCCTGCAGGCCACGAAAGGGTAGAGCCCTAAACGGAGAGTCTGGGACCTGGGCTAGAGTCCTGGCTCTGCTGTCCCCATGACCCCAATGCCAACTTTCTTTTGGTGGCTCAGCCCTGATTATTTAAAAGTCCCTCTGTTCTCCTCTCGGTGGTGGCTGATCCAGTGGCCCGGCATTTGAAGCTTCCACAATGTGACCCCAGCTAAGTCCCATCCTCAGAGATCCCAGCTCCACAGGACCTTCACGATGCACTAACTGAGCTGGTCTCCATCTTTCTTGCATGTGGTCAAGTCCGGGTCTGGGCCAGGCGGGCAGTGGGCACACATAATTGTCTGTGGGGTCAAGAGCCATTGATGTCCCAGCCCCCGCAGAGCCTGGCCCAGGACTGTCTGAACATTGTGGGATGGACAGACGGATGGAATGACTAGGCGAGGCGGCGCTGACTCCGTTTCCAAGCCCAGTCCTGCCTGGTGGGTGCCATTGGCCTCCTCCCAGGAAGCCGTGGGCAGGCCCCTGGGAAGGTGCACTTGCGGGCACTGCTCCCTTTCCGTGCGGGGCTGCCTTCGTCACTGCCTGGAGATATTTAAGGAGAGGAGCTCTCATTCCTGGCACCTCGCCCAAAGCTGGGGGTGCTGCCCAGCTTGGGGGCAGTCGCCCACTCGCTGGAATTGGCTGCACTGCGATGTAAGAAGCTTGCCTTCTTGGGGAGAAATCCACCAGCATCTCCCGGTTCCCTGAGCTGCGCTCTTCGGGGACCGCCTGGGCTGTGGGAAGGGTCCTCTTGCACCGATTCCCGCCCCGTTGCCTGCTGGAGAATCGAGGGCTCCTTCCCCCATGGGAGAAAGCCCACCTCTCCGCCCGTGGCATTCAGGCTCCTCACGATCTTCCGTCCCGCCTCTCCTTCCTTCTGCTGAGCTAGCCTCGTGGCCGTCCCTGCCCACAGGGGCCCACGCTCCGTGACCGTCCACTTGCTGTGCGTTGTGCTTTATGAGCACATGGGTGGAGGAGTGGGAGTCCCAGGGTCAAGTTCCTGGTCTCCTGTTCACTTGCTGGGGTTGCCTTGGGCAAAGCACTTTTCGGAGCCTCAGTTTCCTCATTTGTAAGATGCCCTTGATCCACCCCTTCAGGGTAGTCAGAGAATCATGGATGTTCTGGGCCCTCAGAACCAGGTTCTCAGCACACAGCAGGCTGTGGTGGCTGCTGTCTGCCAATGTTCCCTTTCAAGGGATGTGTCCCGGACCACCCAGGTACTCTAGGCAGCCCTGGCCACAGGCAGCGCAGATCGGGCCCAACGGGAACACTTCACGGCCCTGATAGACAGTCTGTTGAGTGCTTGCCAAGGACTGGGCTAAGAAGTTTGCATTTATTAACACATCCCCCTTCAGGAATTATGATGTCCATTTGAGAGGTATGGAAACCGAATCACAGCCAACTCAAGTGACATATCCAAGGTCACACTGCTAGGAAATAGGGAACCAGGATTTGAACCCTGACAGTCAGTCTCCAGGGTCCTGCTCCTAACCACTCACTGAACTGCCTCTCAGAAGCTGGCTGCCCCATTCTGGGCCCCACATGCACGTGGATAGTGGTCGATTCTAGACCCTTCTGGAATGGGGGGGGGGGCAGGAGAGGGATGACAGTCTCCACCACTGAGGAACAGTCAGTTTTCAGCATGGCAAAGGGGACCAGACACGGTGGGTCTCCGACGAGTCAGAAGACACTTGGTCCTGCACGTCCTCACGCTTCTCCTGCTCTGGTCAGAAGCCATGGTGTCTTGACCTCAACCACTTCAGAGGATGCCCAGCTGTGGCATCTGGACCCCTCCATCCAGGCTGGAGGTGCTGGCTGCCGGTGTGGGGCGGGGGGGATGTGTCTCAGGTAGGCTTTGCCCCCTCTAGCAGGGTGGAGGGACCCTGCTGGGGGAGTGCTGGGTCCCTCCCCTTACCCCGCCTAGTTTACCCCCATCCGGCTTTCCGCCCTGAGAGCTGACCTCCGTGGGCTACATCAACAGCTCCCTTGGGCTCTGGCTTCCGGAGGGCCAGCCAGCGGAGGTCACTGGAGGGACACCGGAGGTCAGAGGGAGGCCGGGGCACTTATTCCCCCGGATCCTCTGCAGTAATGCTGTGAGCTGACCGCATCCCTGAAAGAGCACAGTGTCTATCAAGGTGGCCTCTCCACACCCGTCTTCTTTTGGGTCTGGTAACCTCCCCTTCCGCTCATCATTTCATGTCATCCTTGAGGGCCCCCTGCACACCCCTCACGTCATTGTTCGCAGTCCTGTTACTAAGCTTCCCCAAATTAGCCAATTTGAGAGTGTCATCCCTTCCCTGCCACGGCCCCAAGTTGACACAGAGTGGGGGGGGGTGCGGAAATGGACAATTACCACACACTGGATTCGTGCGGTAAGAACGCTAAGGGTTGTGTGCAGTAGAAACCCGCAGGTGGAGGCCCCAAACTCCAGGTCTGTCCTCTCTCTAGTCAGCAGCTTGGGCTCTGGGACCAGCATCCAACCCTGCTCTCCAGTGCCCTCCTCGATCTTGCCTGGTGCTGTTGACCTTCCTGGCTGCGGGGGATCCCTGAGAGCCAGAACACACCTCAGTCCCCCCTGCAACCGCCACTTACCCGAGAAATGCCCACGATCTGCTCGTCGGGCAGCAGGCTGATGCGCATGAAGCAGGACTCGAAGCTGGCTTCCTCCCGCTCCAGGAGGTCCTTCCCCTGCAGCACGGCCACGCGGAGGGTGTGGGAGGTGGCGTCGTAGTCCATGCTGACCTCCACCTGGCCCAGCGTGAAGTCCTGTCCAAAGGTGTTGCTCACGGAGGAGATGGAGTTGAGGGAGTCAGCCGACTGGGACTTCCGGAGGGTTCCATAGGGGGCCAGGTCCAGCTCACGACCCATCAGCTCTAGGGGCCCCAGCTCGCTGATGCTCTCAAAAGTGTCCTCCATGCTGAGGCTGCCTTTGCGACTGGGTGGTCCCCGAGCGCTGGCCCGCTGGGTATTCCAGGCAGGCACCCTCTGGGGTGAGAAAAGGGGACATGGGAGCATCAGAAGGGCAACAGTGTTGAGATGGCGAAGAGGTACGGTGATCCCTGCTCATTTGAGGCACCTCCGAGTTCCCCTTTTGCAAAAATGGGGCACGCCTTAGTTCAGAACGTCTTTGCTCAATGATATTTCATGTCGCTCAGTTTTCTCTCTCTAACCGGGATGTAAGACAGCATTTTCTCAAACTGTTTGTTTATATGGACTGAGTTCCGTACATAGAGATGTTCACACCAGTGATGCTTATAAAAAGGAAGGGGAGTTAGCAATGTAGGTGTCCAGCAGAAGGGGACTGGGTCAGAATACTAGAGGAGAGCTACCCAACAGAGGATCGAGAAGCCGGAAAGGAGGTTTTCAAAAATGCCTGCAAAGTGGGAAAACTTTCATGTTTGGTAACATTCCCCCTAATATAAACTGTTTCTTTTGTCTATATAGACCTTAAGATTTGAGAAAACAAGAGCCTTTGTACCACACGCATCTCCTATGTTGCTGCATATTCGTCATTACCGTAATTTCTCATTGTCTCCCCAATTTTCCATTGAGTGGCCAGCTATCATTTAGTTTACAATTCCCCTAATATTGAACATTTACGTTGTTTCTATTTGTTTTTTCCAAAATAGAAACAACACAGCATTGAGTAGCTTTCTTAAAATCCTGACTTAGAGAACACAGTCCTTTTGAAAGCGTTCGACACTTGTTATTAAAACGGTCCTTGGAAAAGTCGTGCCAATTTATAGTCCACCCCGCAGAGTGAGAGGCAGCCCCCTCCGAAGCCCCAGACGAGTGAGCATGTGGGACCCGTATGTAGTACCAGATTCTGGCTGTGAGCTCTGGGACTCCACATCATGTTAGAAAAATTCCCTGCTAAGTGTCGAATGACGAAACACTCAGCAATACACACCGAGAGCCCTGAAAATGTCCTCCCTGAGACGGTAATTCCGCATCAGGGCATCTATTCAAAGTACACAATCCCAATGAGGACAAAGTTTCACCTATGAAACACTCACAGCATCATTTATCATGGCATTCAGTAAGTCACGACAGATACATAAAAAGGAATCTTAGCTATTAAACTGATATTTATAATGGGTGTTCAACAACGTGCGTTGGTGGGGAAAACGCCCCAGCTAGGAGTGCAGTGAGAACAGCAAGGAATACAATTCTAGGTAGAAATGACGCCCGTTGTGGAAAAACCACGCATGTCAGAAAAGACTGGGAGGTGGTAGATTCAAAATATTGGAAAGGAATAAATCAAAATGTTAATAGGTAAAAAGCGGTTAACTATTGCTTGCCTCAGGGTGGAGGCATTTGGGAAAATTTTTCTTCTTATTTATATTTTCCTATATTTTTTGCAGGGTGGTCTTTAAAATGGAAACCATTCACTCATTCATTCATTCAATAAGTAGTTGCGGATTGGACAGGTGTGCACCGGGCTAGGTTGGCGCTATGAAGGAGGACAAGGCCCCTCTTCACTGCAGGAAATGAGCCAGGAGGGCGCGAGGTGGGGAGGGAGCGGAGGGCAATCCTGGGGGCGGACGGTGGGGGCATGCGGCACTCGCCTCCGTGTGCATCCACCAGCACGGAAGCCTCACCTTCTGCTTGGCCTCTGTGTAGCTCTCCCCGTATTTCTGCTGAAGGTACCTGTAGTCGTAGTTGGGGAATGGGGAGGGGCTGGGGAAGCTCCCTGACGTCCAGAGCTTCCACAGGCTCACAGCGGCGATTCCCAGCAGCGCCAGGGCCCCCGCAGCGTAGACACCCACCTCCCAGTCAGGTGGGCTCTTGATGACTACAAGGCAAAAGCAGCCTCTCATTAGCGGGCCCTGGGCCCTCAGTGCTTACAGACCCCCTCCCAGGGAGCAGGTGGTCTAGCACTGACTGACTTATGCATTGAGTGCATATTTACTGAGTGCCTCCTATGTGGTAGGCTGGGTGCTAGGTACTGGGGTCCAGGGTTGAACAAGAATACACTCCCTGTGATTTCTGCTTTATCCTCTTTCCCACAAAAACGCACATGTTTACCATGATTGGCACTTGACTGGAACAGATGAAGAGCTGTGAACAGTGGTTAAGAATTCATTAGGCTTTAAACAAATAGGGTTGTTCTTGCCTCTTTGGAATTCTTAGACCTCACCCTTCAGAGGACCTTTGCTTCCAGATAATCCAAGTAGTCTTTTGGGGTCTAGGGAAAGAGGAAGGGGGTTTGGGGAATGAAAAATGATCCCATTTTTTTCCTCAAACCTCATCTAGAATCAATATCCATCAATGGGTGAATGGGTAAATAAAATGTATCCATATAATGGAATATTATTCAGCAATAAAAAGGAATGAAGTACTGATACATATTACAACATGGATGAACCTTGAAAACATCTTGCGAAGTGAAAGAAGCCAGACACAAAAGACCCTGCATTGTATGATTCTATTTATATGTCCAAAAGAGACGAATTTACGCAGACGGGAAGTAGATTAGTGATTGCCTGTGGCTGGGGAGGCGAGGAGTAGGGAGATGTGTGGAATGTGGGGTTTCTTTGGGGGATGATGAATGTGCTCCAAAAATTGATTGTGCTGATGGTTGTACAATCTACTAAAGCCCAATGAATTGTACAGTTTAAGTGGGTAAATTCATGGTATGTGAATTTTATCTCAATCAAGCTGTTACAAAAAAAAATAAAAAAAGCACCTCAGCCAGCAGTGAGAGGTGGCTGCAGGCTGTGTAGGGCCTGGGGGAAAATCCAGATGCTCAAATGCCTTTTTCCCACTGATAAGTAAATACTTCTGCTTATCTTAGCCTTACTGACCCCAAAGGCAGTCATTAACTACCTCCTTGACTGCACTGGGTGAGGCCTCACCTAGCACAAGGCCGAGCATTGCCATATACAGTAAAAGGAAACCTGGCTTTGCAGTCCCCAAAAGGACCCAATGAGATAGACAGTGGGGCTCATTTTGCAGAAGGTCACACTGTTAGCAAATATAGTTCTCTTAACCATTCTTAGGGTTGCTTCTATACTCAATTCAAATGGGGAAACTGAGGCACGCAAAGACCTTGCCCAAGGTCACAGCGCCAGGGAGGGCTGGCTCTGGGATTCCAACTCTGACAGCCAGACTCCAGAGCAGGCAGGGCTAACCACTGCCCCACCGGGTCTCTACCCAATGTGGTTCCCTAGTAGCAGAGCAAAGAGAGATGGAGAAGGCATTTCAGAGGCGGACATTTAGCATGGCACATGCACTGAGCACCTACTGTGTGAGCACCTTGTGAAGGGAGTCAGCCCCAGGCTCAGCTCACAATGGGGTGGGGGGGGGGTGGTGGTGGAGCAAATAGACAAAACAGAGTGATGGGAACAACCCAGGAGGGCTTCCTGGAGCTGGAGGAGGATGTCCTTTCCTGGAGAGACATTTAAGCTGAGATATGAAGGGGGAGCAAGAAGTGTGCAGGCCAAGGCGCCAGGGACTGGGGATTTAGGGCAGGAAGGAGAGGGGGTGTGCAAAGCCCAGAGTGCTCACAGGGCCCCCTTGGGGAAGAGGGAGTGGGGCACCTGGGGGCTGGACAGGCTCCTCGCCTCTGCTTCCTGAAGCCCAGCCACATCGGGAGGAACCACACAGCAGCTGCGGCCCCCTGGCAGCGGGAGGCCTCAGTCAGCCCTGGGCCCAGCTCTGCTCTGGCTGTCCTGAGCCCTCCGCCTGTAGCCAGAATCGATGCTAATGAGCTCCGGAGAAGGGCAGGGCCCGCCTGCGGCCCAGCATCTACTCAGCCCTTAGCGCTCTGTGAGGTCCCTACCTCTACTTTCTAGGGGACAACGGAAGCTGGGAGAGGGAAAAGAAAGCGTTTGTCTGTGGGCTCAAGGCCATGAGGGGGAAAAGTTCAGGCCACTGAGCCTCTCTGGGCTCAGCCTGCTCATCCGGAAAAAGGAGATGACCACAAGACGTCCCCATGCAGTGGTTCCAGCCAGCGAATTTATTCTGAGGGAAAAATCCCAACAAGTTTTCTGTCTGCTGTGAGTCATCTAGGCTATACTCTTGTAACAGCAGAAATCTGGAGACAGCCCGAAGGTCTGACCCGGGGCCCTGGAGCTGTCTTAGGAGGGAATGTCACTGGCCTTTGAGAATGACTACTGAGGTCATCAGGATGTCACTGTGGTGATGCAGAAAAACATTTCAGGCAATGTTGGGGGGAAAAAAAAAATTCCCAACATGGTATAACCACACGATTTGATGTAAAAATCACACAGCCAATGGACAAGGGCTGAGAGGACCAGGGAGGATTGAGAAGAGCAAGAAATAAGGAGGCAGGGGCTGGGAGCAAACCCTATTAACTGCTGATCTCGGTTGCTGGAATGCAATTTGTGGTCTAAATAAAACCACAACGAAGATCTACAGAGGGCCCTGGGGCCAGCCCTGCCTGAGGCCAGCGAAAGCCCTGGGGCTCTGGTGAATGGGGGATGGGATGTGGATGGCCCTGCTTAACTGGGGAATGAGGGGCCACGTGAGGGGCTCCTGCTGAGACCTGCAGGGCTGGGCACGCGGGCCGGCCCAGGCAGTGGGCACAGCAAAGTGGCAACGCCGAGCCAGACTCCTCTGAGAGTGAGGGTCCCAGGGAAATGAGGGACTGAGGCCAGAGCCCTGGTGGACAGGAAACGGGGGGAGGGCCAAGGGCGTGAAAGGAAAACCCTCAGGAAGGTCACGTGAAATGACGACAGTTGATACTCATTTATTTATTCATGTATAGAGTACCAGCCTTAGGACAGTGTGGGAAGAAATCCCCAAGGAAGCAAGGTCTGGGCTGAGACCAGAAATAAAGAGGAGGAGGAGGAGTTGGAGATATAATAGGTTCCTTCTCTTTACTATTTGCCAGGTTCTGTTCCAACCAAGCACCCTATGTGTATTAACCCACTGAGTCCTCAGAACAACCGTGGGAGGAAGGTTCTATTATTATCCCCCTTTCACAGATGAGGAAGCTGAGGGACGGAGCAGATATCCACTGCCAATCTTGCTCCAGGCCTGTGCTTGTAACAGCAGAGCAGGGGACCAAGCCAGGCAGCGGCAGGGACATGCTCCAGGCAAAGGGAGCAGCGCGCAAAGGCCTGGAGCTGAGGGAGAGGTGCTTCCACTGTGTTGGGCGCTGCAGTAGGTGAGCTCGCTGAATCTTCCCAGCAGTCCTTGAGGCAGGCCTCATTGCCCCATTTTAAAGATAAGCAAATGGAGGCTCAGAAAGGTTTCATCACTTGCTCAAGGCCATGCCGGGGCTTGGGCCAAGACCTGGGAGCCTGCAGATGAGAATTCCTCGCTGAGGGGTGGGAAAGGCCTGGGCTGTCAGGGGTCTTTGCTAGGGCAGGAGCCAGGACGCCAGTCAGGAGACCTGGGTTCATGTCCTGACCCTGTTACTTACTTACTGTCCCTTTCCTTCACTGGGCCACCCTTTTCCCATCTGTAAATGGGGACAGAAACATAAGGAGAAGAGATGGTGAGGTGCGTGTCTGATGTCCTGTGATGCCATTCCCCAGCTCAGTGCCCGCCGGGGCCCACAGGGTGGGTGGGAGCTGCGTCCCAGGTATCTGCCATCCCTGGTTCGGGCGATCTCTGAATTTCATGCCCTGCGGACCCAACGTCAACCTTCCTGGGTTTCCTCTCACTTGGCTACTTGAGAGGCTCCAGGGTTGGCCCTGGTGAGTGGATTCCGTGTCACAGGCACATCCTTAGGGAGCCGCGGGACACGGGCCTCCTGGGGGATCCCCTCAAGTCAAACGGAGGGGGTCACTTCCACAGAAGCAGCCAGGGGAGCAGAAAGATGAAGAGATTTCAAACTGGTCCCAGCCCCATGTCCCCAAGGCTATGTGACCTTGGGTAAGTCACTGACGGTCCCTCCCAGTAAAGCAGAGCCACGACCGGTGGCCCACTGACACCCCGCACCCCAGGCCTGGCAGGAGGGCCCTGTGAGCTGGCATGCTCGCTGCTGGGACTCACCGCTCAGGTGGCGTTCTGCCACGTCCACGGCCATGGTGCCTGCTGCGGCAGCTGCAACTGGAAGGGGAAAGAGAGTTGGAGGGGAGGCCTCAGAGGGTCCCCAGCCCCAGCCCTATGCCTGTCACCCCGAGGTCGCACTCAGCTGTGCGCAGGGCCTGGGCCAAGGCACGTGGTTTTCAAAATAGTGTTTTTATTTTTTATTAAAAATGTTTTATTTATTTATTTTTAGAGAGAGGAAGGGAAGGAGAAAGAGGGAGGGAGACATCAGTGTATGGTTGCCTCTCATGTGCCCCGCACTGGGCACCCGGCCTGCAACCCAGGCCTGTGCCCTGACTTGGAATCGAGCTGGTGGCCCTTTAGTTTGCAGGTCGGCGCTCAACCCCTGAGCCACACCAGCCAGGGCTTGAAATAGTGTTTTTAAAGAATGGCGTCCAATGCTTTCTTTAGGCCCTCAAATACTTCACCTCAGATGCCCAAGATGCCCAGTGATGTTTGAATTTCCGATTCATTTTTAGTATAAATATGTCCAAGTACCAGAGTATACTTACACTAAAAACGTATTCATTGCTTATTTGAAAGGGAAAAGTTGCTGGGTATCCTGTATTTGTCTTTGCTCACCCCGGCACCCCTCCCTCACTTCCGTCCTACCAACCCCGGCCTGGCCGGCACTGACTCTTGGTTACTCATTAGAGCAGGCGCCCTGGGGTGCTCACTAGGCAGGGCCATGGGCGGTACTATGACGGTGATCCCAAAAGATTACAATGGAGCTGGAAATCCCTATCACCTCATGACTTCACAGCCATCATGACGTCATAGTACGAGTTACAATTGGCTACAGTGTTCGGCACAGTGACAGGCTGTACAGGTTTGTAGCCAAGGAGCAATAGGCCAGACCACATAGCCCAGGTGTGCAGTGGGCTAGACCATCTAGGTTTGTCCTGTTCAGCCAACAGGAGGAAATGGCCTAATGACAGATTTCCCATCTTTAGAGGACGCGCGACTGTACTTCAAAAGCTTTTGTTTATATTTGAAAAGCAAAGCCTGCATTTCTTCAGTATCCTATTCTCTCTCCTTTCACTCCCCACCCCACCCTCCACCTTCCACCCTCCACCCTCCACGGTCTGGAAGCTCGTACAAGCCACTACCTGAACCCTGGGACTGCCGGCAGTTTTATTATTGTTGTTGCTAAGAAGTAAACAGCTCGCAGGCACATGCTCAATGAGGAGGGAGTGGCGGTGAAAAGGGGAGACGGAGATGAGCTGGATGGGTCTCAGGTCAAGGGACACGGAAGGACAGGATAACCCCCACCCCAAACTCTGTGTTCCAGCAACGCTCAGAGCGGTCCTCAGAGACAGGCGAAGAGGGATAAAGGTGAGGGGGCGGTGGGGGCGGCGGGGGGCGGGACGTGTCAGGGAGTGAGGACAGCAGAGGGTCTGCCAGCTGAAGGGCAGTGCTTTTCTGGGCCCAGGAATGCCAACCTGGCGTCGCTGGACCTTTGGGCTCTTTAAAGAAAAGCCTGGATAGTTTACATGCAGTTTTGGGATTTTTAAATGTTGTACCAATTCTCAAAAAAATGTAAACACTATTCAGGCACCATGTAAATAAAAAGCTGCTTGGCTGTGGCTAGCCTGTGTGTAACTCCGTGAAGCATTCTGTGGGCTCCCTTTGGGACTGGGGTCCAAACAGAGGGTGAACATTTTCCTGGGCAATTTCCAGAATCTTGGGGTCCTCCGCAGTCTTGTGGCTTTGGGGCCACGCAGCTGAGCCGCCATGATCCAGACGGGGCTGCCCGGGCCCCGCGGACTGCCTCCAGCGCTGGGGCCCGCGGCCTCGGGATGCAGGGCAGACGGGGCCCTGGGAGAAGCCCTGCCAGGGGCACAGACAGCTCCTTGCCCTCAGCCCCCTGCTGATGCCCCTGCTCCCTGAGATGCTAGTTGTCATAGTGACGGGAGGGCGGTGCCCACTCAAAGTGGAAGCTCATTCCAGGCACCTGGGCTGGAGATCACGGTAACGACAGCTAGCTCCGCCAGGCACCCCTCACACATCCAAGCGTGGCTCTAAGCGCTGGGTATGTGTATTTCCTCATCTAATCCTCTAGCAACCCCACAGGTTGGTATTATTATCATCTCTGGTTTGCAGAGGAGAGTCCTGACGCATGGAAAAAAAAGGCCATTTGCCCCAGGCCACACAGCTAAGAAACTGTTCAACACAGGCCATCTGGCTCCACGCTCCTAGCCCTGCGCCCAACTTGCAGGCGAGTACATGATTTCAAAAGTTTCCTGAGAACTTGCAGGCCCAATAGAGCACTGTGTGCCAGCCCAAGGTGGCCTTAGCTCCTGGCAGAAGGGAGTCTGGACATACTGAAACACACGTGCTCAGGGGAGTATTCGGGTCCCAGCTTGCCTCTGCCCTGCCGGGAATCCGACAATGCCCGCGGCTTTCTTTCCCGCTCACGTGGCACAAGCTGACTTTGCGAGACTGGGGCTGCGCTGGCACGGCCAATGCCAGCAGCGTGGGCTGGGGATGCCCCTGCGCAGGTACACATGTCCAGGGACAGAATCTGCTGATCAGGCCTCTGGCTGTCCTGGGGCCCGCGCCCCGTCAAGGATGGTCCAGCTCAGACCCCAGACCCCCACGTTGCCCACCTTTCTTCTCCCTCCCCTCATCACTCCTCCCCGCTTGGCCTGGGAGCTGTGATTTCAGAGAAGGCGGGAATGGCTCCGGCCACACCCAGGCCAGAGGTTCCCACAGCGGTGCCCTCTGGAGGCACCTCTGTCTGAGAGAGGGAGGGGGGTCTGCCCCTCACCAGCTCTGAGCCTCGGCTGTCCCTCTGTAAAGGGGGGCTCCCAACTGCCCTATCAGGGTGCCAGGAGAGCGGAATGAGAAGTAAATTCGGTCGGGCTTGGTAAAGAGCGGCTGCGGCAGTCTTGGCCTGGCAATTTGACCAAAAGGCCCCCTTGCCCCTTGTTAGAGCTGCGGAATCGTGTGGGCGGTATGGCCAGCTGTAGCTCTGTTTCATTTGCTTTAGATTAAAGTGCGTTGCCAACATTTAAAAATTGGTATATTTCCCATTAAAAATGGATTTCTTAAAAAAAAAAAAGGATGAATTGCTAGCTTCCCTTTAAAAGTGAGATGAGTGGACAGTGGCTCTGTGTCTCCCCGAAGCCCCCAGAATGGCCCAGGCTGGAGCTGAGCAGGCTCTGCCCCTCAGACAGGGCGCTTGCTCCATGGGCCTGCACCTCGCCCCGCTCCGTTCATCGCCAGAACCTGACGGCCCCTGGAAGGACCTCCGTTCACGAGCCTGGGCAGCAGGCCCTCTGAGCTTGGGGAGGTTCAGGAGGGGTGAGTGAGTTGCCCTCAGCCACATGGCCAGCAGTGGCGGCGCTGGGCCTGGCAGCCCTGCCCACCGTCGGGTTCGTGCCTCTTCTGTTAGTAGCCACAGCCCCTGCGCAAGGACTTCTCTTCCCCCAAGACCCCTATGGGGCACATCCTATTATTATCCCCACTCCATAGAGGAGGAGAGGGAGGCTCCACGAAGGGCAGTTCATTTGCTTGTCTACGGCCATGCAACCAGTAAGCAGAGGGCAGAGACCGAGCCAGATCTGGCTGTGTCTCAAGAACCCTTCTTAATGGCGCTACTCACTGTCCCAGAGACCCCTGACTCTGTCCACCGGCAAGGACAACCACGGCAGGCCCCTGTGGGCAGCCTGGGGATCTGCCCGGCAGAGGGGCTGCAGCCTTGGCTCGGACCAGGATGCTGACAAGGCACATCCGAGGCCAGGGCAGCCTGTGACCGGAGCTTCCCCCGGCTCCTGACACACAGGAAACGGGGCTCCACAGGGGTGAGGGGAGAGCCAGAGCTGCCCCAAACCTGCATCTGAGTTCCTCAGATCCAGGTCCCCTTCCTGGCACCCTTCCCCACCCAAATCTATTCAGTCTGGCCCCGAAGCCCCAAGCCCTAATCTGTACGGAGCGTGCTCACGAAAAACAAAACAGTCCTAGTTTCAAATCCAGGCTTAATTGTACCCACCTGGCAACACCTACCTAATGTCACAGGGATTAGGCGTGATAGATGCCGAACGCTGAGCACCAGGCCTGGCCCGTAGCAGGCACCTAATGTAACCTGATGACTGAATACATAAATGGGTCCCCACCTTAAAGACAGGAAGCTGAGGCCCCTGCTCACTCGGCATACGAGGGCAACACTGGGATTGGCCCCAAGGTGCGATGGCTCTGGGCCTGGGCTCTTGGCCACTGTGTCACCTCCTGAGCAGGCTTTTCAGGGGTGGAGGTGGGTGGGAAGAACATCCACTGGCCTTGCAGAATCTGACCACCACCATCAAGGCCCCCTCCTTGGCTGGTCAGAGAAACGGCTTTCCAGGAATTCTGAGCCTCTGCAGGGGCCTGGCCCCCAAGTCTCTGCTCTGCCCACCCCATGGCCTTGCTCACCGTGTCTCTAATCACGCCTCTGGCCGGCCGGGGCTTGGCTGCTTCTGTCCTCACCCTGAAGCCAGCAGGTAACGGGAAAGACTGGGTCGGGGACAGGGCAGCCCTTGACCCCCCAGGCTGCCAAACTCTTTAGGATCTTGAGGTTTGAAATGCTTTTCAGGGGCTCCCTACGTTCTGCGATAACCGCATCCTACAACCCATCCCCGCAAAGCCCACAGAAGCCACAGGGTAGACTGGTGGAGGGGGGTGGTGGCGGCTGGCATTTAATTGGGCACCGCTAGGACTTGCCAAGTATTATTTCAGCAAACCCTCCCTGCCGTGCTCTGAGGGGGCTGCTGCTTTGCCCACTGAATGGGTAAGAAAACTGAGGTGCAGGAAATGACCTGCCCACAGTTACCGGAGCTGACAAAGGCAGAGTCCCAGCCTGAATGCCAGGCTGGGAGGCTCGCTGTCCCACGCTGCTTGAGGGAGGTGGGGCTCGGGTCCTTGCCTTGACCCTTCTCCAGAAGGCTGAATTACCAGAGGTGGATCGCAGCCTGACCCGGGCCTCAGTTTCCCCATTTCTAATAGGAAAGACAACAGCTGTTCCCTTTCCAAACCTGTCGCCCTGGCTGGGGGAAGGGGCTGTCATTCCAGGGCGCAGGTTTCCCAGGTACTTTGGGGTGGCGATGGCCTCAGTGGCTGGAGAGGGGGAGCACAGTCCCTCTGCAAGCCCTGGCAAGGAGGTCAACAGGGTCGCTGGCTCAGCGCTCCTCCACCCACAGGGCTGGCTTCAGGCCGTCGTGGTCTGCCCCTCTCCCACCCCATCTTCAACCCAAATCTACCCTCCGAGTGAGGCCCTGAGAAGGGCAAGTTCCCCCTCCCAAGAGCAGCAGCGTCGCAGGTTCCGAGGGGCACCTGGAAAGCCCCCCACCCAGGCCGGTGACATTCTGCGGCTGAGGATCCTTTCCCGGGCTCCCGGACTTGCCTCTCAGGGTTGGGGCATTTCCTGAAGACCCTGCACCCCCGCCGCGGGAACTCCTAGGGTATATGGGGAGGGGAGTGTGGGGAGCTCACTGAAGAGCTGTGTGAAGCGGGGCAGAGGTAGTAGGGGGAGAGTCAGAGTGCTGTGAATGTGAGGGGCGTGCGTGCACCGCGGGCGCCAAGGAGGCGTGTAAATGGCCAGGGGAGCCGTGCGTGTGCACACGGGGGGCGGGCGTGCGGGGCGCGATGCGATGCGCAGTGCGCGGAGTGGCCGGGCCGGGGAAGGGCGCCCGGCGTGCGCTGTGCCGGGCTTGCGTGTGCAAGCGCGGCACGGCAGTGCAGACGCGTGGAGTGCTCGGAGCCCTAGGGTCCGCGGCGCCGAGAGGGGGCCCTGCGTGCGTCCGCGCGCCGTGCGCGGGGGGCGGCCGGGTGCGTACTCACCCCGGCTCCGCGGAGAAGCCGCCGCTCTGGCTCCCGCTCCTGCTCCGGCGTGGACACCGGCTCCCGGCTCTGGGTTCCCGGCTGGCCTTCCGCAGCGCGCACGCACCGGCAAGCCCGGCGGCCGCCCGCAACGCCCCTCGCTGCAGTGTCTCCCGACGCCCGCCTCGGAGGAGCGGGGCGAGGGCCGGGGGCTCGGCCAGGCCGGAGCGGCGTACCGGAGCTGCGCCGCAGTCCGGGCACGCTCCCAGGAGCCCGCCGCGCGCTCCCTTGCGCTCGCTCGCCTGCCCGCCCGCCCGCTCCCTCTTTAATTTAAAGTGACAACCCCGAGCGCTATCTCTGCTCCTGGGAGCTGCGCGGCGCTTCTGGGGTCTGAGCCGAAGATCCCAAGCGCGCCTCGGAGGCCCGGGGGTCTCCCGGAGGTGGAGCCCAGGCTTCATTCCCAGGTCGGGGGACGAGGTTGCGGATGTGCTTACCAGTGGCTCCGAAAGGCAGGCTGAGCGCTGGACTGAGAGCAGGCCCAGGGTCTAGCCCCCGCCTGCCGCACCCGGGTGTCCTGTTCCCTTTTTGGGCCTCAGTTTCCCCCCTATTGCGCGCCTCCTTGGAACCCTGGGGAAGCAGGTGGATCAGCAGGAGGTGTCCCCCTCCCTGATTGTATCATTAATTACCCTCTCCCACCAGGATTAGGCTGTTACTCTAGGCCAACATCGTCTCACTTAATCTGCACAACGACCTACTGGGGTCGTGGTCATTCCATTTTTTACATGAGGACACAGGCTTATAGGTGAAATAACCTTCCCAAGGTCACAGAGCCAAAGGTCAGAACCAAGACTTGAACCCGGGACAGTTTGACTTCAAAACTCATACTCTTAAACACTGAGAGGTCATGCGTTCCCTCCCAAAGGAGTGAATGAATCATTCAGGAGACATTTACTACGCCCCCACTGGACACTAGGCACAGTGTTGGGTGTGGGCGATCTTCCATCTTCTGGGAACAGGGGTACAGGTCCCACCCTACTGGCGCAGTCTGGAGGGGAGGCACACACACATTAATAGGGGCTTGGCTGCGCAGGGGGACAGTGCCACGTGCGGTGAGCCCAGTAACCAGGAGAGCAGGCTTGGTGAGCCCTTGAGGAGGCCTCCTGTAGGACCTGGGGTGGGGTGGGGTGGGGAAGAAAGAAGAGGATCTCAGGTGGGGAGCGCATGTGCAAAGGCAGCAGTGGTCCTGGACCACCTACCCTCTGGGTCCTCGGGGATGCCCTCTCCGAAAAAGCTGGGTCTGTGCTGGCTTTGTGGGGCCAGGGCTTCCTTGATCTAGAAGGCAGGACCCTAGGGAGCTAGGAATAAAGTTCCACTCTCACCCACAGGGGGCGCCATTGTTTCCTGTTCATTTTCTGGACCTGGAAGAGGAAGGAGAAAGGGCATTAGCTATACCCTTTAGTGGGGAGGAGCTGGGCACTGGGTCATGGGCTTTCACTGCCATTTCTTTCTTTCTTTCTTTCTTTTTAAAAAGATTTTATTTATTTATTTTTAGAGAGGGAAAGAGGGAGAGAAAAGTCAATGTGTTGTTGCATCTTGTGCGCCCCTAACCGGGGACCTGGCTTGCAACCCAGGCATGTGCCCAGCACTGGGAATTGAACTGGCGACTCTTTGGTGTGCAGGCAGGCGCTCAGTCCACTGAGCCACACCAGCCAGGGCTCACTGCCATTTCTTAATCTTCACAGCCACATGCAGTTAGGTAGGACTGAGCCCATTTTCCACATGAGGACACCAGGGCCTTAGAAATGACAGGGTTTCCTATCTGGGAGGGAGTGGTTAGACACCCCATCCACACACCGAGTGACAGACACACTCTGATACGGATGGGCTTCTATTGGAACAGCAAGAGGGTGAAGTCAAGGCTGGTCTGGTTCTGGGATCAACCCCCTAGGCTGATGCAGGAACTGGAGTGCACATGAAGGATGAACGTGAGGGGTGAACCTTATCAAATTCAAGTTAAAAATCTTTTACGAAACAGAAGAGCGTGCCTATATGCACCAAAGACAGGGACCATGTGTGCCAGCAACAGTCGGGTGTCACTGCCTTGTTAGTCACAGTGACCGACCACTCAGCAAAGAGGGTGAACCAAGCTACCACTGTCTGCAACAAGGTGGATAGATTTCACTTGAAGTGTTGAGTGAAAGAAGCCAGACACAAAAACACACGTTGTATGATTCTGTTCACCGAAAGTTCAAAGACCAGGCCTTCCTGCTCTGTACTGTTACTGGTCAGGAAGGCGGTCACCAAGGGGCGGTGGCTGGAGGGGGCCTGCGGGGAATTCTGGGTGCCGCCCATGTTCTGGCTTTGCCCTCAGTGCTGGTTCCCTGGCTGTGTTCACTTTGTGAGGACTTGGGATCTTGCACACTTATGATTTGTATACTTTTCTGTGTGCGATATACTTCAACACAACCTACAAAAACAAAACAGAACAAAAACCCTGGGTGGCTGCCCCCTGCACCGGAACAGAAGCCAGACTACTCTCTGGGGCTCACAGCCCCGCTGGCCTGTCCTCCCTGTCATGCCGTCTCCTGCCGCACCCACCCTTCTCCCGCCTCGGGCCTTCTGGTGCTCCTGGCACCGGCCAAGCCATTTTCCGCCTCAGGGACTCTCGCTTGCTGGTCCCTTTGCCTGGAAAGCATCTCCCCTCTTTTTGTCAAGACCGTTTCTTCCATCTTCTACGTATCACCCTAAAGAAGCCACCTCTTCAGAGAGCCCCTCTTGACGAACCCCATAGACCCCCATCCACAGCACACCGCTTATGCACGTCAAAACGCCAGCCATAATCTGCAGTTATTTTATTTATTGGTTTACAGTTCATTTTCTGCGTCCACCACCAGACTAATTACCACAAACCTGCGGCACATTTGCTGTGTGCCAAGTGCTCTTCTAACATGTGTCGAGGCATTGAATCCTCACCCAGCCCCGTGGGGAGATACTATTCTTAGCCCTACTTTACTTTATAGTTCAAGCAATTAGGGCTCAGAGAGGTTATGTAACGTGCTCGTGTTCCCACAGCTGGAAAGTAGCAGAGCCAGCATTTGAATCTAGGCAGCCTGGCTTCACAATCCCTTCTTTTAATTCTATGCTCGGACAGGTCTTGTCTATTTCTTCCCTGCAATATATCTGGAGCAGTGCCCGTCAGACAGTAGGTGCTCAGTAAATGTTTGTTGGGTGAATAAATGAATAAATGGGTGAATAAAATGTTAGTAGGAAGTGGCGGGTTGGGGGAAGCTTGGATCCCAGAGAGGGTGTTGGGGGGGGGTAGGCAATGGTATCCAGGGTCCTGGTGGCAAGGTGACCAGGGGAGTGGTGGCGGCTGGAGGGTCCCAGGCAGCCGGAATTAGCCGCAGCTGTGGTCAGGGCCAGGCTCTACCTGGGCCTGGGCCTGGGCACCTCTCCTGCCCACATTGAGCCCACCTTCAGCCTCCCCCACAGACCCTACAAGGCACAGAAGCTGTTTCCAGAGGGGGCTCTGCCTTGAGGGTCCACATCCTATCTGGGATCCCTAGCAGGATGTAAGCGTCCCCAGGAGGGGATGCCCCTCATCAGGTGCCCAGACTGCGGTGGCCCTGGAGACAACGACACGACTCACATGAATCATCTGGCTCTGGCCAGAGGCTCTCTGGACCGTGAATATCCCCAGAGACAGGAAGGTCCCACATGACTTGGAGTCTAGGCTGTGGCTGCAGTGCTGGCTGGCGAAGGCCACAGCCTGTGTCATTGTCTCCCTTAGCCTGTCGTGAAGTCCCCAAGCTCTAGCAGCTGGAGCCAGCTCCCGTGGGCCTGCTTGCACTGTTGCCCATCAGCAGCCCTGCTCATTCTCCATCAGCCTCTGGGGCAACCGCAGCCAGTCCCCGAAGGGCCGGGGCGCCTCAGGCGCGGCGCTGGCCTGAGGCCTGGACGCGCGATCCTTTGGGCCAGGTTATGACAAGTGTTGTGAAGAAAACAAAGCAGGGTGATGCGACAGAGAGCGACTAGGTGGCCAAGGAAAGCTTCTGAGAGGGTGACTTCTGAGCTCTACCTAAAATGACAGGCCTCCGCGGGGCATCCCAGGGAGAGGAAACAGCAGGTGCCAATGCCCTGGGGCCGCGGAGAGGCTGGGGTGCTGCACAGGCAGGCGGCGGCCCCGCAGCATCAGGGGACAGAGATGCGAGGTGCGTCAGCAGGGGGGACAGTGGCAGGTGCGGGGGTGATAGGAGCAGCGACCCACATGACTGCTGCCATCTCTCGTGACTCCTTTCCTGACTGCTCTGTGGAACCGGGGAGGAGGCCCGGGAGGTGGGGAGCTATTGTGGGATCCAAGCAGAGAAGATGGGGCTTGGAACAGTTTCATCAGGAAGAGGAGTGAACACATTTAGGGCTTATCTTGGGGCACAACAACTGGTTAGGAAGAGAAGGTCCTCTTGTCCCTACTGCCCCATTCACAGGGCTCATAAAATAGAGGGTGGCTCCAGCACAAGCCGGCCATGGGGAGGGGTTTGTGTTGCTCTTTTCGGGGTAATATGCACAATTTGGAGACTCTGTCTTGACACATTAAAAAAAAAAAAAAAAAAACATTAGTCTGGCATCTAAAATGGCTGAAAAGTTATTTACAGCTTTCCAGAGACCTTTCTAGAAAATGCCAAAGAACTGCATTCATAATGCATAGCAAAAAACCTGTCTTCCCCTCTTCCCTTCCCCATGTCTGCGCTCCCCAAATTCCTCTCTACCTGGCTCCAGACTCTTCTCCGAGCCCTCTGTTCAGGCTTCCCTGCCTCTGTGCCTCACGCTGCCTCCTTGTGTATAGGACGTCCTTTCCAAGCCATGAACTCTCTGGCCTGCCTGGAGCGGCGCGGCCAGGCCTCTCTCTGGTCCCTCCAACCCCCTTCCTCCCATTCCCACCCCCCTGCGGTCTGCAGCTCCTCTTGCCAGCAAGGAAAAAAGGAGTGCCTAGACACTTCAGTATTCACCAGTTTTCTGGTCCCACACAGGGAGAAACTTTATAAAGATCAAAACACCAGACACACAAAGTAATAAAAGCCACAGCAGCTGGGATCTGTCAGGCATGTTTCAAACACTCTATTTTCATGATCTCCTTTGATCCCGCCCGGGTGATGCTGTTACTAACAAAAGTCCAGGATGGCTGACATCACTGGCCACATGGGGCCCACAGGTCCTGGCCCCAAATCCT